AAACATTAATTTCGAGCCTAGTATGTTCTCCGACAAAGTGGCGCTATAGCTTTCTTGGAAATTTCACGTCCCGCTAGCACTTGGGGTTGGATGTACATATTTGGGCGCATAATCTTGTTTTCGAGTTTGTACAAAATGTGACCGCAAGAGTATATATGTTTAAACACGTGTGCTTAAACACTTGAGCTTGGTCTGCCAGAATATATACAGTCACACTGTCGAACGCGATTGTCGTCCCTAATTTCATTGCATTTATGCGCGGTACGTACACTTGGCGGTAGCGTTTTCAATTTGCGCAGCTATATGGCGAACTACGCTTTGCGTATTACCGTAGTGATTTGATAAATGATCAAGACAACGTGGCTTATCAAGCGATTGCTCTTTCGTTTGTTTTATGTTCACATGTATGCCACGTCAGTACCGCTGACTCTGAGAGAGAATTCGAGAGAGTGCTTTGTTATAATTCTAAAAGCAGTGAAGTGAGGCACCTGACTGGTGAAGTGAAAAGCTATGTCCTCCTGAAGAGTAATCGCAACATTTACATAATGTGCGTAATACCTTGCGCGTCTTCTTTTTACCGCCGTCAAATGAAACCCGATAAGTGTCAATATGATGATGATTATAATGAAACCTTTTTTGTTGACTGAAAGGTTTCTACGCAGATATTCGCATTGATAGAGGAAGCGTTATCACCACTGGTATGCGCGCGCATACGCTATGGCATCTTTGCGCAAGTTTACGGTGGTGACTGCCTGAACGCCTCACTTCCCACGCCAACTGCCACACGACTGTTGTTTCAGGCAAGTAAAAACTAATTATATTCCGACTGGTGAAACCTTCCCGAATGTTATACAATGTTCGATTCAACTTCTATAAACACTGCGAATGATGGAGTGCAGGTACAAATAAACGGTGAACATATTTTATCCGCACATCAGATTTTGACGAACGGGCAACCACCGTTGCGCTGGGCCTGATTTTAGTTTAGGTGATAACGCAAGTAAATAGGACGATTAAAATATACACCACCTCTTACAAAAGGCGCAACGTGTCTACACCTCGTATCCATAGCAGATATCTAATAGTCTAATACCCTTGTCACACGGCCACCACCAAACTCCGTTGAAAACCTTCAACGTAAATCTCCCTTAGGGGGTTTGACGGAGAAGGGGTTGTGGCAGTGTCACACGGCAATGACAAGGTTGTAACAGCTGCCGCGAGGGGGCTCAGCTAGCGCTGTTTTATTCTCGGAAAAGTATTCTAATTTCATCTCTATTGATTTTTTTGTGAATCCTCGTTATGCGGTTTTTACAAAAGAGCACTATTAGGTAGGTATGCGAGTAACAAACCATTAAAAATAATTTCAAATAAAAATTTGCTAAATGAGCGATGCTGCTAGTGACGCTGGCCACATTGTGATTTTAGTTCTTTTGTTGCCTGTGTACATGCCCGGTACGTAAGTTCTTATGCTTCACTGCCTCGTGAGCGCACATTTTGTGTTCTTCAGCCATGAGTGACACAGCGGCTGACGTGAGGAAGTGGTACGAAAATGCGCTGGTAATGACGCTGATCGGCTGGCGCCGACTGGCCCGACTCGCGGGGCATGGTGTGTAGGGCATCAGTGTTGAGAGTAAGTGAACTCTGGCGAGCGTAAACATATGCAAGCAAACACCCGTTGTGAATGAGTACTACAACGAAAGAACATTTAATATTGTCAAAATGTATTATTTTTTCACTGCGGCCACTTAGTGCTCAAAATTTTTCTCTAACCTCTAGACTGCTGGAGACGAGAGTACTTCGTTTCGCTGCGAAGGGAGATTGTTGAACGTCCTTTGCGAAATGCTCCGTTTACCTTCGTTTGCGTAAGGGTGGCCGTGTGACACGGACCGCATCTTCGTTGTCGTAAGGACAAGGGAGTTAAATGGCCTTCGCGGGTGCCCGTGTGACAGGGGTATTATACACCTTCAACTTAGGTTTAGGGGGACATTAAAATTCATCAGGTGGTAGACATTTTTAAGGTCTTACACTACCGTGCTCATCAAAGACTTATCGTATTGTTAGGGCGTTAAACAACAGTTATTATAAGTTAGGCACCAAAAGAAGCGACTGAACTCATTGAATATGAGCAATACAATTTAGTGAAAAGTGTAGCTGATCCCTCTTTTTTATGAATCTGTATAACACGAAAGTGAAACGTGCCTTCATTGAGGTAGTTTAGCACTTATCGTGCACTGTTTCGCACAAGGCCAAAAAAAATGAATGCTGCAGCAAGAAATTACAAAGTCACGCGAATAGCCACAAACAACAGCAGCACAAAACTTGCAGCGCGCACCTCAAGCAGAAAGCATGCACTAAATAAGCGTACACAGGACGAGCGCAGGCTATCAACTTTCACAGCTCGACGTTTTTATGATGCTGTTAAAAGAGAAAGAAAGGCGCACGAAACGAACGTACAAGTACACACAGGGCAACCGCGCACCACTCTCGCAACTCTTATTTCTTCATGTGTCAGCAGCGTGCTCCTTTCGTAAGCACGGCCACGGCAGCGAGAAAAGTGACCTTCGTGTTCTCCCGATTCACGAGTCTGATCAGTGCGCGCGCGGAAGAGACCGCGCTCCGTGTGAGCGGTTCTCCCCGGAACGCGAGAGGTGACGCCCTGAGTGGGTCCAACGCGCGCTGGTAGTTCCATTTCGCTACTGATGACCAAAACACATCGAAGCTTTAGAGTTCTAAGGACCATTATATGGTATATGGTGTATGTAAATGGCTTGACCCCTGCAGTCACGGAATTTTTCTAGCACAATGACTAGCACTGTGACCTGAGGTTCCAGAGGTCACTGGTTTGACGCCCCATAACATTGGTTGTGCGCATCATTTTTTGTGTGTGCAATCTGTTAATATACATCTTACAATATCGTATCTGGGGCGGAAATACGTCAGCGGAGCCGTGGTGTACTTCGGCATAGAACAGTTTTGTGTTAAATACGCGAAAAAGATGAAGACCTTCTCGTATGTCTCTATGTTTTGTCCTGTTTATTATGTTGAATCCCAACTAGCCCACATTATCACTTATATGAATGCCATCGGGAACATTTTCTTCTTCATCAGCATCGTTGCTAGTGTAGTTGGCTAGAGTGGCAATCATTACATCGTGAAGCACATGAGCTGCTTTGCAGCTGAGTATGAAATCATCGTGGTGGAAATTTCTCATCGGAAGTACGTAGTTTAGGACTACCCCTGCGTCCAGCGCTCGCACAAGGTCGGCCACGTCTACTGGATTGGCGATCTTGTCCCGAACAGCCGAAAAGAGGGCCACTGGAACACTTATGCGTTCCAGTGGGTATTCAGGAGGCTCTGTCTGGAATAGAACATACCAGCTTAATTACTTCACGCGTGTTAATTCGGGTATGCTTTGTATTGATTCACCAGCCGAACACATGAAAGCTTCTAAAAGAGTCTAACAAGTTCAATCATTCAGCAGCTCTTTATTGGTGGATACTGCAGAGTCCAGAAAGATTGTTCTCAGTGTCTCGTGACCTTCGGCACACGAAAAAGGCTCCCTGAGTGTCTCATAAGCTCGGTCTGAGCTTATGTCAAAGCAGCGGCGCCGAAATGAAGCGAGTCTAGAAAAGGTAGCGCTCATGCTTGGCTGCCCACTGTTGTCGTTTACTCGAGCACTGGACATTACTGCTATGGTCACGCGACAAGTCTGAAGCGATCTCTGAGCACTAAGAGCAAGAAATTCACTGGGTGCTTCTTAAAGCTGCCAATATGAAAACATTGGTTCCTTCGCATAACACACTTTGCAGTTTTTCAAGCCCTGTTAGATAAGACAACTTGTTGAAGAGAATGTTAGTTTCATCGAAGTATTACACGCCCGTAAGTGGTTAAACTAATATTTCAGAAAAGAGTATCTAACCCTTTTCTAGATCAATGAAATAAAGAGCTGTCACTTGGGCAAAATCCTTTTCAGAATGTGAAATAATCTCGTGATGGGTTGCCCATGTAGTCTCAGTTGTCTTTAACGGTTTCGAAAACTTCGATACCTTATTTTCGAAATTTTGATCTATAAATACAAAATGTGCAGTAATTTGGCTTTGTGCAGGCGGAAGACCAGCGTGGCTCTTTGCTTTTTTCTGTTAAAGTTTAAATTTTCTTCCTAGGCACAGCAATTTACCTATTAACATATTCAATTGTCCTTTGAGAGCACACTGACTACCACGCCTGATGATGCGGCAAGTGAAAATGAAGGAAAACGGGCTGAAACCACCCTGTCTTCGATGTGATTTATTATAAAATGTGCTCTGGTACGAAAAGAATGTGTCGTGTGTGCTTTTCTGGCTGCCTGTAAATCAACATAACTAAAAATAAAATGGGGGTAGTCAGAAATAACGTGAGGTATAACAGGTTCAAGCCAATCTAGCACAAATGAAGAGGGGAAATGTCCCAAGGTAACTTCTAAAAAGAGCAATTTTTTTTTCATGAAAAAGAATAAAACCAAATGAGTGTGGCGCAGAAGTGCAGACAATAAACTGATTAGGTTTTCAGGAAGGAGCAGGTCTACAGGCATCAGCCGTTTATTTCCCTAATTTCAGTATTTGGTGTTCGTGCGTGTATTTTTATGCGCGTGTGCTTGTATGTCTGTGTGTTAATTTAGGAAGCGTTTCTGTTCAATGCGGGAAAGTCAAAACATGACGGTGGGTTGGGATGCGAGCCAGTGCGTGGCAGTGAGCTGATGTCAACTGGTACAACACTCGGCAGCAACGAGTAGCGACTCGTCCCACCTATTAGCCTTGCTCGAGGCAACGTACTTCCTAAGGAAACTTTGTAGAGAAGTGCCCTGCTTTACAGGTTTGTAAGTGTTTCTTCTTATTACAGTATGTTAATTTTAACTTCGCTGTACGTAACCCATACGCTTGGATTGCGCTAAGGCTTTGACAGTAAGCCTTCAGAAACTATTTAGGACAACTGTCCATCGTCAGAATGTCAAAAGTACCTCACCGTTCTATATATAAGGAGGTTGTCCACCTTTCCGTTGTCGTACATTGCAAATCGCTTTGACTTCGCGACCTGGAAATGCAGAAGTTTCACTGAACATTATTGTAACTCATGGGCTGACTGCATCCTCGCCATACAATCGCAGATTTTGCAGATTGCAAATACTTGTGTGCAAAAATGAGCAAATTACTTTCGGGAGCATCCAACTAATTTACCAAAATGAAAATCCCCTACATTTCATACGCTATTCCATAAACCAACCGGGATTTTTATTCTCAGTTCTTCTGCCGTGGGCACTGCCTGTCATGATTTCGCAGTGGATAAGATAAAGCTAAGGGATACCCAGCCAGTAAGGCATTTCGATAAGAGTGCAATGTACTAACCATGTGGGTAGCTTTCGTCTGCCTTAAAAAAAGTGAAGAGTTGAAAGTTAACCCGGAGTCCCGCACTACAGCGTGTTTCGTATTTCTATCATGGCTATGACACATTCTATACAAGAATTACTGTTCTTTTGTGAGCTTGCTAAAAACTCTGGTTACATTGCACAAACGCTAAGTTGATATCGAGATAAACGTATTTACCAATCAACAATAGGTTAATAATCTGCGATCAGTCTAAATGCAAACTCTAACAAGCACTTGCTTTTTGATGAGTCAGTTGTATACAAGTCTGAAGTGATTATACCAGCCACTCCCTTTCCGAACGTTGGCAGAAAGAAAAAAGCCGCCATCGGGTAGGTCCAACGTTCCCTTCTTGCTTGCGGACTTTTGCGCGAAACCTGAGCAATGTAGTTCACTAATTGGGACGAGAAGAACAGAATGTGTGACTAGCCAGACCTTCTGGCTTTTAGCTCCCCGTTAGCGCTAGAGTGACGCGTATCAAAAAGCGCGGCCTGGGTGGATGTTCAATTCCGTGGACAAAGGGGTGATGCGCAAGCTGTATGAGGAACTGACGACTCTTCTATAATATATATCTTCGCGCGACCCGTTTGCCTGAGCATTCTCAACTCACGTCCGCAAGCATGCACTCTTTGCAAAAATATACTAGTAGCTGTACAGTTCGATAATCAATAGATCGTCCGATGTGTTACTAGTCCGTTAGTGCCTTGCATGCATCGCTGAACAAAAGAAGAAAGGACAAAAAAACTAAATATGAGCACTCGTGTTTGTGGGATCGTTGTTCTGTCGTCTTTTTCAGTATTGTACACAAATTCAAAATGGAATGCCAGCTAGACTGCACCGATACTGTACTTCTGATAGCAACAGCAGCTACTAGTACCGTTACTAAAACTAGGCAACATGTATTGCTTCATTTTTACCAGTGTATAAGCTCTACGTCTTGCTCACACTGCAGCACCATTACACTCGCATCATCTTGCACTTAAGCAGGCGCGCCTGTCTGTTACATTAGGTTAAACCGCAGTCCCACACTGCAGCGTGTTTCATATTTCTATCATGGCCACGACACATTCAATACAAGAATTACTGTTCCTTGGTGAGCTCTCTAAAAGCTGTAGTTAGATTGCACAAACGCCGTGTTGATATCGAGATAAACGAATAGACAAATCAAAGATAACTGAGTGATCAGCGATCAGCCTAAATGCAAACTTTAACAAGCACCCCTGAGTTTACCTAATTTTATCATCAATTCTCTTCAGTTACTGTCATAGCTTTCCACTGCGCCATATGATATTGCCAATGATGGAATACGAATGAAATCATGGTCTCAATTCTAGACTTGGTTAAGGACGACGCATTCATTTTACCCTGCACAGTTTAGGCGCAGAAAGTACTTTTCGCAGCAAGTATTACTGATCGAATGCAACTATGACTAAAGCGGTGGCCTATCGTTCACTTGTAAAGGATACTTGGGGTGCACAGGCAGGCTTTTTAATAGCATTTGTGGGGGGCTGGCTGCGATGGCTAGAGAAAAGGACACAGAGGTGCGCTCGTGCTCTATGGAATACTGCGCTGTCCGAACGACCGACCGACCGACCCAACCGACCCAACCGACCGCTTCTTTAAAGCCCTCGCTTTAAGGCCCTCGCCTTCTCTTTAAAGCCTTCGCTTGCATTAAAAACTGCGTTATCAACGTAAGTGGTATGGCTTCCCCTTCACCCATGAAACTGACCAAGCTAAATCGATGCGATTCTTTAATGAACCAAACTTTCACGTGTCGCCGATGGTTGGTTAGTTTCATGCCCTAGGGTTGTACGTCATTGTGAACGATAGGAGCTGGTGTCTCAAATACTTGCAACAGAACTGTCAAGCACAAAAGCCGCGTCATCGAATGTTCCGGTGCAACAAGGCCATCAGTTCTGAGATTATCGCAAAGATAAAAAATAATGTTCAGGGTGCCAATACTCAACGCTTTGCTACGAGCCATGCATGATTGACTGACAAGGAATGTTATAATGTCAACATTTGGATGGAATGACATTTAAAATCTGTTTGTAGAGAGGAAGAAGAATATGTGCCGCAGTGGGTCACGCCTTTAGCAAAAGGAGCCGAGCGCGAGCTGTTGCCCCGAGCGTTGTGTTTCCTGCGTCGGTTCCTGTCGCCCGCTTTCCGCATCAATACACCTGCTGTGCAAGTACTACTTGCGCCAATAAACCCCGTTCCAGAGTGGTGGAGGTGCTGGGTAACTCAACCTGGAACTCCGCAACAGGAAACTACCTGCCATCCCAGACATGGCTGAAGAAAACACCCAGCAAGGTACGACCCAGCCTCCGATGGTCATCGTGCCTACTGCGCTACGCGTGCGCGATCCACCTTTTTTCGACGGACTTATGAGCAAGACGTAGAAGATTGGCTGTCGACATTTGAAAAGGTAGGCGCAAGCAACAAGTGGGACGACCCTTCGAAGCTGCAATATGTACCCTTCTACCTGAAAGAGGTGGCGAGTCTCTGGTTTAACAACCACCAGTCGGAATTTGCCACTTGGGGTGCCTTTAAGCTACGCATTATCGATGTGTTCGGTCATCCTGAGGTACGCAAGCTCCGTGCCGAACAGCGCCTACGGGGACGCGCACAGCTTCAAGGAGAAGGCTTCACAAGCTACATCGAGGATGTGCTCGACTTGTGCAAGCGCCTTGACCCTTCAATGATCGAGGCAGACAAGATCAAACATATTTTGAAGGGGATAGACGACGACGCCTTCCAGATGCTGCTGGCCAAGGGCCCACGTACCATGTCCGAACTCGCCACTCTTTGCCAGAGCTTCGAGGAGTTGCGCAAACAACGGCTCATGACATGGCGTCCAGCGGCTACCGATGAAACTCTCGCGGCGTTGAGCCTGGGTGGAGACCACAGCGTAATCATGTCCGAAATCAAACGATATGTGCGCGAGGAGGTGGCCCGACAACTTTCGTGCCTGTCATTTCTACCGGCAACAGAAACCTCTTCTGAGCGTCTCGCACCCGCCATCAGGCAGGTAATACAGGCGCAGGTCTCTGAGGCATTGCCGTCCGTCTCTCAGACAGCACCCGTCACCGCGCCATTGACTTATGCTGCTGTTGCTGCTACTCCGCCATGACCTCCGCTTGGGCCGACTCCCCAGCCTGTACGAGTATCAACGACGCCATTTCCAGCAACACAACAGCGCTATAAAGGAAACCCTTGGCGCACAGTTGACAATCGCCCGATCTGTTACGCATGCGGATGTCCAGGTCACGTGGCACGCTTCTGTCGCCGGCGCTTCGCAACGGGTCCGGCTGCACCTCCGAGGTACCCTGACTACTCTTTACCGGTCCCGTACAACGCGCAACGAGAACTGCCACGTCAATGCGACCGACAATCAGTGGAACGCGACCCATCACCAACCGAACTAGACCACCGCCCTGCTGCCGACTACCAATCGTTCGGTCCCCGTCGCTCATCCTCACCACGCCGCTACCGTTCTCCGTCCCCTCTGCGTCGCCGACCGAACCCTGTAGAGGCGGAAAACTGACTGCCGCAGCTCCGGAAGCACGAGCTGCGAAATCGTCCCATTGTACAAGTCCTCGCCCGTCCCCCACAAACGTTCTGGAAGTGTTTGTTGAAGGTCTACGAACTCTTGCGCTTGTTGATACGGGTGCCGCCGTATCTGTGATGAGTCAGAAACTCTGCCGTTCGATACGAAAAGTAACGACGCCGCCTTCCGACGTTTTGCTGAATACCGCGAGTGCGCAACCAATTCGACCAGTCGGAGCATGTACGGCGAGATTAACATTCAGGACGTCCTGTACCACATCGAGTTTCTCGTGTTGACCACTTGTGCCCACGACGGGATACTTGGATGGGATTTTTTGTCACGCCACCACGCCGTAATTGACTGCGCTCGCGCACAGGTGGAATGTTCTGTGTTTTCAGATGCGCCATCTACCGACAATGAGCGCACTCACCTGGGCAAGCTTCTTGTTGCTTCCGACGTTGATGTTCCTCCTCTTAGTGCCATCGTTGTCGCCGTCAATCGCACTGAATTATCCGGCTCTACCGTTGTGTTCTTCCCATCTGACGTTTTCAGTCGCCGCCACGGTACGTCTCTGCCATACGCCGTTCTGCCACCTCACCAGGATACTTCCGGAATTGTCGTTTGCAATCCTAGCTCATGCCCTCTCACCTTAAGAGCTCACGAAAGACTGGGCTATGTGTCATCCTGTTGATGACAACGTTATTTTTCCTATTGAGTCCCACGACCCTGGCCAGCAACTTCAACTGAACGCCGTTACTCCTCTTTTTACGCGGGATGACTACTCATCGGATATCTTTAATCGTTCCATCGACAGCAAGCTTCCTCCGGATCAACGGGACTAGTTAATGACCCTTCTCCATGAATTCCGAGATTCATTTGACCTTCCTTAAAAGGCACTGAGTCAAACTAACACCGTCGCTCACACAATCTACACTGGAACGCACCCTCCTTTGCGGCAACGCCCCTACCGCGTATCACCCAAGGAACAAAGTGTAATTGCAGAACAGGTGAATGATATGCTTCAGCGCGGTGTCATCAAACCATCTTCTCGCCCCTGGTCTTCACCTGTGGTGCTAGTGAAGAAAAAAGACGGTTCGATTAGATTTTGTGTCGACTACCGGCGACTGAACAAAATTACACGGAAAGATGTATACCCTCTTCCCCGCATCGACGACGCTATCGATTGCCTACAAGGTGCCGAATACTTTTCTTCGCTGGACTTATGTTCAGGTTGCTGGCAGGTTCCAATGGCAGAGTGTGACCGTCCCAAAACAGCGTTCGTTACGCCGGATGGCCTATACAAATTCATGGTTATGCCATTCGGTCTGTGCAATGCACCTGCAACGTTTGAGCGAATGATGAACAGCATTTTACGCGGCCTTAAATGACAGATATGCTTATGTTACCTCGATGATGTTATTGTATTTTTTCCTGATTTCCCTACCCACGTCGACCGTCTGCGCACCATTCTTCAGTGCCTTACCAAGGCAAACCTCCAGCTTAACCTAAAGAAGTGCCGCTTCGGGGCTCGCCAACTTACGATACTTGGTCACGTTGTGACAAAGGATGAAATTTGCCCCAACCCAGACAAACTTCGAGCCGTAGCCGACTTTCCGAAGCCGACTTCACTCAAAGAACTTAGGAGCTTCATCGGCTTGTGCTCGTATTTTCGTCGTTTCGTCCACAAATTTGCAACAATAATAGCCCCACTTACACAACTATAGAACGGTCCAGCTAATCTTTCTAACTGGACCCCGGCATGCGACGAAGCTTTCCTTACACTGCCCACCTACTTACGTCCCCACCGATTCTACGCCATTACGACCCAAGTTCCCCCACTGAAGTGCACACAGATGCCAGTGGCGTTGGTCTGGGAGCAGTACTCGCGCAACGAAAGCCAGCTATTCCAGAGTACGTCCTCGCATACGCAAGCCGCGCACTCACGAAAGCGGAGATGAACTACTCCGTAACTGAAAAATAATGCCTCGAAATGTCCTTACTTGTACGGACAGAGTTTCGACGTTGTGACCGATCACCACGCACTTTGTTGGTTGGCGTCGCTAAAAGATCCTTCAGGTCGCCTTGGACGTTGGGCTCTTCGACTACAAGAATTCGATATTCGTGTCCTCTACCGCTCAGGACGAAAACACTCTGATGCGGACGCCCTCTCACGATCACCAGTGAGATCCACCGCAGACCTGCATTCGGACACCAACTTCTCCATCGCTCCCATTTTCGTCACAAGCATGTTGTCTGAACAGCGGACAGACCCATGGAAAACATCTCTCCTTAACATTCTTTCCGACTCTTCAACGTCTGCGTACCCACGCGCTCTTCGCTTCCAAGCCACACATTTCGCGATACGGGACGCGCAACTATACCACAGAAACTACCACGCGGATGGTCGTAAATGGCTCTTGGTTATACCACACCACATGCGATCTGATGTCTGTGCGTATTTTCATGCCGACCCACAACCTGCTCACGCTGGTGTGTTAAAAACATATCAGCGGATCTGCCAGCGTTACTACTGGCGTGGTATGTACACTTTTGTACGAAAATACATTCGGTCTTGTTCATTATGCCAACGACGAAAGACAGCTGCCCATTCACCCGGATTATTACAGCCTCTACCGTGTCCGGCGAACCCTTTCGACCACGTTGGTATCGATCTATATGGTCCCCTTCCTTACACTGCCACTGGAAATTGATGGATCATTGTCGCCGTCGACCATCTGACGAGGTATGCTGAAACAGCTCCACTACCTATGGCTGGTGCACGTGACGTAGCCAGTTTCGTTTTGCGACGCTTCGTACTGCGTCACGGGGCACCACGTGAACTACTAAGTGATCGAGGGCGTGTCTTTTTATCCGAAGTTGTACAACAACTCCTTCAGGCATGACGCACGGTGCACCGCACCTCTACAGCCTACCACCCGCAGACCAACGGTCTAACTGAGCGCTTCAGCTGAACGCTAGGAGACATGCTCGCCATGTATGTCGATTCTGACCAATCAAACTGGGATGTCATTCTCTCATTTGTGACCTATGCGTACAACACCGCAACGCAGTCAACCACACGCTTCTCGCCTTTCTTTCTTCTATATGGGTGTGAGCCATGCTCCACCCTTGACACCATTTTGCCGTATCGTCCCGACGTCTCAGAGTTCAGCCCTCTTTCTGAAATTTTGCACCACGCTGAAGAGTGTCGCCAATTGGCCGGATCATTCACCTCGGACAAGCAAGCATTCGAAAAAGACCGCCACGACCGTGACCAGCTAGTCGATACTTTTGCCGTGGGCTCGCTTGTCTGGCTCCGACTGCCCTTCCACTCCCCAGGTCTGTCCACTAAGTCTGCCCCCAAGTTTCACGGTTCTTATCGCGTCGTCGAACGTCGATCTCCTGTCACATACGTGATCAAGCCGGTCATGCCATCTACAGACAGGCGATGCCTTGGTCGTGAGACTGTCCACGTGAGTCGTCTCAAGCCATATCACGACCCACTCCTAATCTCATCACCTTGACTTGCCAGGATGGCTCGTCTTCGTCGCCGGGGTATTGTAGAGAGGAAGAAGAATATGTGCCGCAGTGGGTCACGCCTTTAGCAAGAGGAGCCAAGCGCGAGCTGTTGCCCTGAGCGTTGTGTTTCCTGCGTCAGTTCCTGCCGCCCGCTTTCCGCATCAATAGACCTGCTGTGCAAGTACTACTTGCGCCAATAAACCCCGTTCCATGTGGAACTCAACTTGTTAGAGGTGGCATTTCGAAGTGACATTCAACAAAGCAGTTTTCTCACAATGTGTTTTTCCGATCAGCATTCTTGTTTTCTTTTTTCAAATTTTCATGCGATCAAACATGTCTCCGTTCCAGGTTTTGTTGCCACTTCATACCTGGACCAAATGATGAAGATTTTTTATCGAAGTTGCTTGATATGTATGGGCCATATATACCGGGGTCCTTGTCTGAAACGAAGGCAAATTTCAGTTGCTGATATAAGCAAAATGAGTTGGTCTGAACATACATATGAACACTAAAACTTCACAATTGCGTGCGAGTGTAGCAAAAGAGTAGATACATTGCCTGACTACACCTGCGGGACCGTCTTAGCCAAACAACAAGTGTAAAGTTTACTGAAGTTACTACAGATATGAATGCGCATAACAAATAAGATTAATACCAGACTGTCGTGACCGATTGCATATAAATTTACTGTGGCTATATTTTATGTAGGAAAACATTCATATTTTATTTGAATATGTTAAGATATTATTAGCTTTTATTGGCTCTATATTTGCTTGCACATTAAACACAAAACGCTCTTGTACGTGGTTGTTATAGGTTTCATTATTTTTCTTTTTATATATGAAATGGAGGGACCACATTGCCACCCCGATCCCGGTACCTTCTGCATCACCAACATTTTCTTCAAGCCAACACACACCAACACGTCTTAGGCGTAGAAATGTGAAACTACCTCGAGAATATCATGTCGACAAGGATACTTTAGCGCCCGTATTCACAAGCACTCCTCGACTCGAACTCGACCTCAAGGATTCCTTGAGGTCGAGTTTGAGTCGAGGATCGTTTGCGAATGCGGGCCTAGATACCAGAACGGGAAGAACTTCAATGTCATTCAACACTCATGTATTGATCCTGGAAATGAAAGTTGGCATTTGCCCTATTTCTCTCTTGTTCGTGAAAGGCAATGAAAGGCACATCTACTAATGAACCATCGAATGATTGGATGCTCTGGTCCATATAAATTCAGATATTTCATTATTCATCGGGCTTTGACATCAAGTTGCAAAATTTGGTGAATGTTCAGTTACAGGCATACTGCATACTAACCTCAGCATGTTGCGCAAATATAAACGAAAGCAGCATTACCATACATTGCGGGCAGCATAAACTCATTAAACCTTTATAACCATAGTTTTTAAGTACTAAACGAAAGTGTTTGAATTCCCCTGATGCATGCCTAATACTCTGTATGAGCGTTACAATTCCTCTCAATTTCTGTGTAGTTTGTAAATTGAGTTGAAAAACAACTAAGGCAGGGCTACCTGCAGAAAGCATCTTTTATGTTCTCATAGACTTTCACTAAGCACATGCTTGGTTCGCAAATAAAGATGGCTGTCGTATTATCACCGTATACAAAACAATCACAACTGCGTATACAGTATTATGGAATTGTAAACATAAATAATAAAAACACTTGATTTGTTTTATTGCTGAATCTCATTGAACACAGCACAAAAAATTCTGTCCTTTCTTAAGTCTAAAACCCTGATAGAAGCAGGGCACTACCAGACGGCCCCTCATAAATCCTAAGAGAGCCCAAGTTGAGTCACCTTTTAGAACGTCCTGCAAGATTCCGAAGTTCACATTTACAGTATACTACGATATTGCGGCACCAGTAGATAAGCTCTGAAATAGAATTTCTTCTATAGTGGTGCGATAGAATGATAAAGCTATATGAGGCTCCTCAGCGAATCGAGAGCAGTTGCTGGATTGAATGGAACGTTGGTGACTAAACTTGAAACAACGTCAGCTGATCGCATTGTACGAATCAAGACACTGATTCCATAAATCAATCATTCACATTCAAGTGGTGCGGCCCCGTCACCAAGCTTACCTTGTTCACCTGTTCAGGAGTGGCTGCTAGGGCTATAAAGAGCGTCGCAGAGCAAATCCCTCCATCGAAAATGCTGCACAAAGGTTTACCGGTAGCTTCTGCCACCCCTGTGAAGCTAAAGTAACCGCGCTTTCCGAAGGGATCAATGACAGGCTGGAAATAGATAGTAAGCAAACTGTGTAGAAAAGATCAAGAGTGCATGTGCTAATACTGTAGCTTAAGCTGCGGGGAACTATAGAGAGTAATAATATAGAATTTAAACACGACGTTCTTTTTGCTTTCCTTAGAGATTTATAGGACTCGTATATTTTGAAAAAGTGGAACACTTATGGAGAACTCGTGTCAGAGATTCCAATTAATATGTGAACAAAATGAAGCGCTTCTAGAATGAAACTTCTGTAGTAGAAAATGGGCGTGTATTGCTGGCGTTTATTTATTTATTTATTTATTTATTTATTTATTTATTTATTTATTTTAGGGTGGACAACAGGTCCCATGTGGAGCATGGCGCATGGGAGAGTCGCATAACGAAAGCAAACAAAAACAAGAAACTTATACACTAGTGCCAAAGTGTCTCTAACAATATTGAGCTTGCAAGGCGATTTAAATTACGAGCTAAAGTAGCAATATATATTATTATCCATAAAAAGAATGAAATCTAAAGCTTATGGTTGCATAAATGATGGAGCATTGGTCGTCTAAAGAAATAAAATGCAGGTAAATAAATCACATAACTTGAGCACCACATCTACAAACAAGAATGCACAAGCTACTAAAAGCTGCTTGCGAAGCAGTGCTAAAAGGGTGCATAGCAGAGCTACAGGAGCGTAAGATAACAAACTAGCACCGCCCAACAACTCACAAGATGGTCTTTCTGAGTAATATTACGAGGCATAAATTTCTCAGTAGCTGATGAACCGGGTGCGTAATGACATCTTTTAGCCGCGAAATAGCGTGAACACAGAGCAAAAAACACACAACGACAAGAGCAGGCGGCACTTCAATTAGATTAGACTGAGCGCCAACCGAGAAAAAAAAATGTGCAACCTAATGGCATTATCAGTGCTCACCTAGCCTTACGCTCACCAAGTATCGATTAATCTCTTTTCCCGTATGTACAACGTCACCAACGCGTCGCTGATAAACCTTCCACCGTTTTTTATACAATGTAGGTTTCTATGACCTCACGCGCAGTTGGATACATACTTCTACAAGGTATCAAACAAGGCCTTGATACAAGATGTGTAATGTTGATCTCTTTTTATTGAACGTAAAATCCTGAGCACACATTCATTCTTTCGGTGAAAGATAATTGAACGGGATATGGAGAAACATGAAGGAGAGCTTTCTCGCTCGCGAACCAAAATTCAAGATGGCATTTTGGAAGGGCCTCTTAGAAGATTGCACGCCTGCGCTTCATACAATGTACTCTATTGAATACACATGCAGTTACTGTCTATAGCGAACCAGAGGGGATCCTCGCGTGAAATTTTCATAAGGTATGACATGGAGAAAAGAATGTTCTTCAAACGTTCCGAAAAATTTTGTGACAACTCAGAATGCGACACCGAATCACCACAATGTGTCTGTAGCGAAAAACCATGATGCTACTGAAGATCACTCGGAACTTACATTCCTATGAACGTCTGCTGCAGGATTCTACAGTGAAGAACAGCTTAGAAAAAATGGCGATAGAGTGGTTTGAGGAGGAGGGGCTGGCTTTGCTTGGTCATTGGCGCACACTTCAAGACTCCCGAAAAAGGGTAGAAGGTAGCCAGCTCGGAAGTTAGCCGTCAGCAGGTCACAAAATTTTCATTTTGAGGAAACCGCTATGTTCACGCTCATTCAATCTCGCTTTGTGCGTGTGTGTGTGTTTGCTCGTATGCGTGTTAAGGTGATAGAAACGTACGATGAACTAGATGAAGTGAATAACATGCACGAGGAGTAAAGCAATCACTTCAACACACAGCGTGGCAAATCCTTCTTACAATGATTAATCTTACACACATCCTTAAGGTTTCTTGCATATCAAAACAGAAGTATGTTGCTCGAATGACTTTCTTGGCAGGCAATACAAGCTGTCCTACATAATAGTTTGAAAGCTTTAGCACTTTTACACTATAATTTACTTCTTTACTGTTTTCCGGAGGCCCGCAGGAGCGCCAAGCACTGTACGCTTGCTAATATATCGACGTGTCCCTTTTTCAAAGTTCTGACCTTGTGGTTCAAAATGAGAGTCGCTCACGTGATACAGATTTATACACATTCTGCAATTGGGGTTAAGTAGCCAACGGGATAAGGTCCCTGGCATTGGAGTTCGGGGATCCGCAAGCTCATTGCGGCACCCGCGGCAACTTGTTTCCACTCAAACGCTATAAACTAAAAACCCTTCTTCTCCATATAGAGAACCAGGGGTTCCTTTTTAGAGCTTCAAAATGCTTCAATACACCTTAGTTCTCTCACAAGTCTATAGAGGGTACTAGTAGTTTTACTATAAGCACGCTATTAAATCATCGTAGAAGCTCTAGACAGATCATCTGCAAAAAAAAAAGACGCACGCAAAGAAACTAATCAGTGCTTCAGAAAAACTCAGTGTGCCTCACGTTTAAAAAAAAAGTGAATTAAAGAAACACTATTTGACACATTATGACAGTGCCGGTGTCCTATTGAAAGCCTTTTGAATAGAACGGCGTGTAGTACAGTGCGATTGTTCCGAGTAACACTACATGCAGATACTTACAAAGATGAGGTCACTGAAGAATAGTAATGCAGACAACGGGTACCCAGTGTGTGACACGTTTGCAACAGGCCCATAGCCCATCAGTATGTCTACCTAGTGGGAAAAAAATGGCATGTGTATTTTTCGTTCTCTTTGCGAGCAAAAATAACGCTACGTGAGCGATTGTTCATGAACGCCAAAATTGAAAGGTTGATGAAGAAAAACGTTCAGGATTGACCTTGAAGACCGTGGAGGCCAGACAGTGTGTACTGCCTACAGCTCATTAAATCGGCGAACGGCTGGGAAGAGGATGCCTGATCTCCTGATTCAGTGTGGGCTTACAAATTTTACGAATGAGGCGCAAGGAGAAAACGGCAATACAGTCATCGTGCGTCTTCCCATTTCCGCTGTCGTATTCTCAACATACAACTTCAAGTCATACCAGTTCGTAAAGGCCATCTTATTCAACCCCACTCAGAGCTGCTATTAGAGTCACAGGCGCACATAGCTGCCATACTTGACTTCGTAGCACCACGGTGTCTTTCGAGTTCCAGGCAGCCACATACATGTATGTGGCTGCCTACAACTACTATAGGCTTGTTCGCAAAACCTACTTCAGTAGAAATTCCAAGTGATTCCACATTGACGCCTTGCAGGCCAGTGTCGCAAAATAGAGCTTCACATGAAATTAGTAACGACAAAGGGGTTCCACAACACGTTTTCAAGTATCCACGGAATGGATTCACTAAACTAACTCATTGCTTCCCGAATCCGCTGCCGCAAAAAAAAAGGGGGGGGGGGGGGGAATTCGTACAGTTCCAGCGGAGTTGCAAATATTTGTGGCACACTATACTTGCCTTCTTTTTTTTTTTCTCATTCACGAAATTACTGGAAGCTAAGCAGGGACGTATGTATGGCATGGAGATAGAAACTGCGTCACGCTTTCATTCTGATCACGGCCTTTCATTCTGATCGCGCGCGCATGCATGGACCAGTTGCGGCATCCTGCGGCGGCTCCTGCAACGACCGAGCGTGCCATGCTCTCTGCAGCCAATGGCTGATCAAATGGTTGTGGCGAGGGAGTTTCGAGCTTGCAGCCTCATTTGTCTAGAAAAGAAAAAGCAAATCATTGCTGGCATTCAGAATTTATTGTGAATTGCAGGCCGCATGCTTGCGCTATAATGTTTGGCTCCCGCATTCTCGAGAACCTCGACTAGAGATCGCCAGTTTTTGCTGACCATGCTCAGATAGTGTTGCAGGGTCCCTTTAATTTAGCCACTTACCTCACCGGCTTAATTATCTTTGTCCCCTTAATCCTTCCTTAATTACCTTTGTCAGTCAGTCACCGCTTGTTCCACCCCGTCTTACCTTTTGAACGAAATCTTGTTCGACAGAAGATTACAAAAAAATGCTGCTCCAGAAGAAAATCACAGATCACTGCTGTTTAGCCATTCTGCAATGTGACGGAACACGGTGCCCGAGTGACTCTGCATATCTTCCACAGCATCTAGAGACTTGGCAATATGTGATTATGCCTCGTGTGTACTGGGCAATATTATGTTATCTGAAATCGCTCGCTCGCAGACATGCGCTGCTGCCACTAGAAGGTTATAGTGCATACGGTTGTCAAGAAAGAAAAGTGTTTTCTGAGTGATATGATTGATATGTGGGGTTTAGCGTCCCAAAACCACCGTATGATTATGAGAGACGCCGTTGTGGAAGGCTCCGGAAATTTCGTCCACCTGGGGTTCTTTAACGTGCCGCAGCCTGGAATCGATCCCGCGACCTGACAGTCAGCAACCGAGTACCTTAGCCACTAGACCACCGTGGCGGGGCGAAAAGCGTTTTCTATGCCTCATGAAGTGAAAAATTAAATATTTGGATTTGACACAAGACAAAAAAAGAGAGCACAGCTGAACATGGCAGGCACTACTCACAAATAAGCTTAATTCACAAAATATTTCATACATACACATCCATGTTGCTATGTATTACATGCGCATTGCCCGTTACCGTGACACAGCAATCAGAAAGGTAGTTTTTTTTTTTGTGTCAGTTGAATTGCACTTGCTAGTGAACTCATGCAAGCTTATCATATTAGAAAGAAAGACATCAAATTAATCACCGATAGGTCTGTTGTGCAGTGCACCAGCGAAAAGCAGTTTGTTAGAAAAATGATCTGTATGATACGTATTCTCACCCAGTCATTGTGATAGCTGTGGTTTTATAATGCACAGTGTGCATGCACGTACTAACGCGGCTGTGCATGTATGTAGAGAAACTTTTCTAAATAGCACCTAATTGCGAGAAACACTTGTACTGTGAATTTTTGTTATTTATTCTTTCTCTTGAATTTTCTCTTTTCAGTATATAATATGAACAAACTATTCCAGGAGGGAATTTTGTTAATCTTATCGAGTAGCGTATT